CCCCAAAACCCCAAAACCCCAAAACCCCAAAACCCCATACATTAGAATTTGAAAATTTTCAGAGGAAATAATATAAAGAAATATTTAAATTCAAAATGTCTATTTTGAGAGCAAGAGTAATAGTTGCTGGAGAGCCAACAGTTGGAAAAACCAGTCTTGTTAATCAAGTTATCAAGGGCACTTTCAATCACAACTATATGATGACACAGGGTTGCGAGTATAACATTAAAGAGATGCCAATTGAAGGAAAGTCATATCAGAGAGTAGAGTTGCACTTGATTGATATTGCGGGGCAAAACATCTTCAAGGAGATCACATTCGAGCTTCTAGGTAAAGCCAACTTAATCATGTTGGTTTATGATGTGACTAACCCAGACACCTTCCATCTCCTTAGATAATGGCTTGAGGGAATTAAGCAATAAAATCAGGGTAGGTAACTGATTGGAGTCGTCGTAGCCAATAAAATTGATCTCGAGAATAGAATTGCAGTTGGTCCTCAAGATGGTCATGCATTCGCTAAGAGCATCGGTTTCGAATTCTTTGAAGTAAGCACCCTCCAGGGAAAGAATATTGAGGAGCCCTTCTAATGCCTTGCTGAGATGTTCCATCAAAGATATCTAGACAGAATTGGAGCTTTATAGCACATGTGAGAGAGTAAATACCTTAATAAGATGAGAGTGTTTAGATTGAGAAGATTTAACATAATAGTCTTTATCATATTTTAGTAAAATTTTAATGTCAATTCACATTCTCTACCCCACACATAATTATGCTATCTTATTAAACAAGACTCATTAATGTTTAAAGTTTAAATAAAGTAAGCGATCAATTGAAGGTGCTAAGGAAAGAACTGAATTTCTTTAGTTTCTGTCACTTAATCATAACTTAGTCGACTTTCTACTCTTAAAGTAAGGCATGTATTTCTTAGCCTTGTTGATGTCAGCTCTATGATGAAGTAATCTGCCTCTCTTTCTTCCAAGATTTTTATTGGTCTTGTTTCTGTTCAAATGGCGGAAACCAAGTGCATGGAACTTGAAAGTTCTATCTCTCAACGAGCCTCCCTATATTCAATTAAACTGAATTATAAATTACAATTCTAAATCTCTTCTAGAATGCCTTCTTAGTCTTGAGCTTATACTTCTTAGTTCTTGCATACTTCTTCTAGGTTCTTCTCGAGATTATGCTGAATGATCTCTCATTAACTTATGTTAATGTACTAGTCTAAAGCAAAGAAGACTTATTATTGAGAGTCAAGAATCCTCTTTAAGCAGAGAGTAAAGAACTCATGAAATATTATTAAGAGAAACTATTCATGGAATTCATCATTACATTTCTCTGCTGAAATTATAATTGATTTATCATTCTTAGACCTTAGAATTGTTTCGTCATCATAAATCTCTGTGGCTATTTAATCATCTGCACTGATGGTTAGACTAATTTTGAGAAAAGTGGCTGTCTGAGAGACAACTACTAAAATCTCAATAAACAATTAGACATCATTTATTTTAATATATTACTAAAGGCTAATAATTAGTTTATTAATTTGTAAACAAACTTTAGAATTAATAATCTAGATGTGATATTAAATTAATTTATGAGCTCCATAAATAAATCTTTTAATAAAGAAACACTGATTGAAATTAGAAATTGTTTGGTATGTCACAGAAATACGCTAATCTAGGAGATGACACATTTGATGCTGAATCTAATCAGGTCAATACTGAAGAGGGTAAAATGGAGGAATCACTTGATATGGGAATAAGTAGTATGAATTCTGAGCAACTCACTGATATCATCTAAAATGCAAAGAGGCACGATAACTAAATGGAGGACATGGGCCCACCTTAGAAAATGGAACAAAAAGACCCTAATGCTTAGAGACTCTCTAAAATCGAGAATAATCCTTACACTTAGAGCATAAGTAAGTTATTATCAATGATTTATTGATTAAATTCTAGATAACAGAGAATTATATGTTAACAGAAGTTTCATAAGTGATCTACTGCAGACATGGCTGAATGAATTTATTACCTTTGGTAGGTTAAAGATCTAGAATATTCAAATTTTTAGCAATGAAGCAGGATACGATAAGTGAAGAACATCTATAGCATTTACAAAGAGAGGATAGATCTGTAAATGTGTATAATGATTGGTGCTAAACTGATGATTCAATACACTAAGTTATCAAAAGGCTGACTCACAGAGGAGTAATTAAGTACAGTTTTTAATTAGTAAGAATAATGGCTAATGCATAATTTATTGTATTAGATTATTGTCGAGATTGCTACAATAATATCTATCTACTTGATCCGTGAAATCATTGACTATTTGCAGAATTAATAAAGCTATCCAGAATGGTACTCTTATGCACTCTTTTTTGGATTTTGTTTGTTCAGATACGTTTCTATAGTGGCTAGAAACTACTACGACTTTCATGTCTATAACTATTTCAAATATGTTGAGAATGCCATAAGATCTTGGCTCTACAGAGATTTATGCTAATTTCATTAATGGTAGCTTCAAGATAACAAGCGAGCAGCTATTCTAAATATATTAACTAAAGATATTGATGCTTTTGTCAGTGGTAGCTGGCAGTTCCCTTATTTAATAGTCGTACCAATAAACACTCTAATCAGTGGGGCGATTCTATATTATATGGTAATTTATACTCCTGCTAACAATACTATAGTTTGGATTAATTATACTTTTCTGCTATTTGATTATGATGATTCTCTTGGCAATCTAATATTTTTCTAATAAAAAACTTTCATAACTTCAGTACGATCTATAGAAATAATCAGATAACCGCATTCAGTACTTATCTCAAGTACTGAATGGCATCAAGTGGATCAAGTTAAATCTTTTGGAAAAAGTATTTATTCAAAAGATTAACAAAACAAGAGAATAAGAATTAAGAGTGTACTCTAGCTATATAAATCTTAAAAATTTATGCTCATCAATTTATCAAAATGCTGGAGTAATCATTAGCTCTTTGATATTTTTACTCGCTGATAAGTAGACCTTAGAATTAGGAAAGGTCTTCTCCACTTTGGCATTAGTAGGGTATATATTCAACTTTAGTGTTCTCTACTCTAATTATGCTATTGAAGCTATCTATTCATTAAAAGTTTTTGATAAGAGGATAACTGATGTAATAGAAAGTTCGTTTCATAAGCAAAAGCTCAATACTACACTTGTTGAAGCCACAATCATTGATGATGATTACGATCCTGCTTTTTAATCTAACAGAATTATGAAGAAGATGGCTAAAGATTAGTAAGATAGGAAGAATGCTAAGCCATATATCAAAATGGAGGGTATTTACTCTCAGTGGAATGTTTAAGAGGACAGAGACACAGGTGAAGATATAGATAATGAAATTTAAATAGATCATAACACTCAGAGTCAATATGACAGTGTAATTAAAGAAGTCTCATTTGAATTCAACAATAATGAGAAAATAGCTGTAATAGGTCGAGTTGGCAGTGGTAAAACCTCATTGTTCTTAACCATATTGAAAGAACTCTGCATTTCAAAAGGAAAATTAACTCTTAATTCTCATGACGTTGCTTACGCAGAGTAAAATCCATTGATAATATCAGGAACAGTTAGAGCAAATATTTTATTTGGGTTACCATACAATTAAAAGTGGTATAAATAAGTGATAAACGCTTGTTGTCTTCAAGAAGATTTCTAAAGATTAAGCAAAGGGGATATGACAAAGCTTGGTGAAATGGGAACCCAGATATCAGGGGGGTAAAGAGGAAGAATAAGTCTTGCTCGAGCCCTTTATAAATAGGATTCTAAGGTTGTTCTAATAGACGGCAGTCTAAGTGCACTTGATTCTAGAGTTGCTAGACATATTATGGATAATGTAATAAAAGGCCTCTGCAAAGATAAAATTGTTTTCTTGATTACTTATGATTTGGATTAGGCATCAGAGCTTGATTATGTTATGCTAATGGAAGATGGTCAAATGAAGAAATTAAAACGGAGCTCTGAATTCTTTGATCAACTTGAAGAAGATAATAATTTCTTATAGAGACTTAAAAATGATATTATGAGATAAGCAAGTATCGATACAGATGATTAGACAGTTGATTCAGATAAAAAAGAATAAATAATTAAGGATGAGAACAAGACAGCCCAGGTAAACTGGAAAACTTACAAGCAATTTTTCAGTTATACTCAGTGCTCTTATTGCTCAATGTTCATTATTATAATCATCCTATTCTTAATAAACTTGAACAATATTGCTGTGAGTGGTTACCTTGCCTATTCTTTATCAAATAAACTAAATCAAGCTACTGCTGAGGATTAAACGAAATTCAATATTACTCTTAGCATTTTAATGGTCTCCTCAATATTCTTTTAATTCGTAGGAAAGATTATTTACAACAAAATTGTAACAAATATTGTGATTAATGTTTTAGTTTCTGCAAATAAATCAAAGGCTACATGATAAAATGGTTGAAGGGGCACTCAACACAAAGATAAAATTCTTTGAAGTCAATACAAATGGAAGGATTCTAAATAGATTCTCCAAAGATGTTAAAGTCCTTGATAGTATAGTCAACACATATCTTGAGTTAACAGATGTAAAATTTTATGAAGCAATTAATAATTTAATAGTACATCGTGAAAAGCATTTTAACAACAACAGTAGTAATTGTTTCAGTTCCATGGGTCTTGATCATTGCAATTATATCAATGATATATTTGACAAAAATTAGAAGAGTTAATCTTCACATTTAAAGAGATGGCTACAGATTGAAATCTGGCCTAATGTCCCCCATCAATTCCTTGATTTAGGACACAATTAATGGGTTAACAACTATCAGAGCTTTTGGAAGATGGGAATATTTCCTTCATCAACTGTTCGACTTAAGTGACACTTAGACTGAGGCATTTCTGACTTCTAATGGAGTTAATAGATGGTGCGCTTATAGAATAGATCTATAGGGATATCTAATTGCAACTGTTTTTGCATTTTTTGCTATTTTTCTCTCAAATATTCAAAGTACTAGAGATTTGGCTTTGATAGCAGTTGGATTTTAATTAGCTGTTGAAACCGCAAGACATCTCAATACTGCTGTAAGATGGAGTGCTGCTTTGGAAAATGATATGGTTTCTATCCAGAGGTTATTTGAATATGTTAACCTTAAATCTGAACAAAAAATGGCATTCAATGATAAAGATAACGAACTATAATGCGAGCAGATTGAATTTAGGAATGTTAAAATGAGATATTCAGCTAAACTGTAGCCAGCATTATAACAACTTAGCTTTTCAATTGAAAAAGGCATGAAAATAGCAATCATTGGAAGAACTGGCTCTGGAAAGTCTTCTCTTCTTCAATTGATTCAAGGGTTTAGATAACCATTTAAAGGGCAAATATTTATTGATGGTCAAGATATTTCTTCAATAGATTTGTAATAATTGAGAAGAGCTCAAAACAACATACTTTAGACTAATTTTGTGATAAATAGTGGTTCGATTTAAGAAAATCTAGATCCACAAATAAAGCATCCTAATGAAAAGATAAAGCAAGCTCTTGACAAAGCTTGCCTTGGTGAATTTAATCCTCAATCCCCTTGTAATACTCTTTCTGCGGGATAGATACAACTTCTGTCATTAGCTCATGCATTTTTAAATACTGAGAGCAAATTGATTTTATTGGATGAGCCGACCAGTTAGATTGATGGTCAGACATAAAAGAAAGTATTAACGAGTATTTTTAATTAGTTCAAAAAGTAAACAATTTTGATGATTGCTCATAGATTGGAAACTGCTGTTGGATTTTGTGATAAAGTGATGGTTCTAGATCAGGGATAGCTAGTTGAATTTGATCATCCATTTAGATTATTAGTTAAGAAAGGAGAGGATGTTGAAATTACGAACACAAATGGTACCTTCGCTAAAATGGTACTGTCACTAAATTCCAATCAATAAGATAAGATTCTCAAAAGAGCAAGAAAGCGATACATGAAATGATAAGCATTATTATTTAAAGCTTGCTAAATTTTTTGATTAAATTTAATGAAATTCTATTGAATCTATTTACATTGTATTATTTATAGATGGGGTTTTGGGGTTTTGGGG